TTGGGTCCCCTGGCGCGTGCGGGCGCGGCTCGGTTACCCCAGCGCTGCGGCGAGATGGCGGGGCTGTTCTCTGTGCCACCGGGCCTGGTGATCTGGCTTCGCCGCTTGCCGGTGGCTCTGCTGCCGCCGCTGGGTCAGCCGCTGCGAATGGCGGGTCTGCTCCTATAGCTGTCCAGATTGTTCGGCGGTGGGCTTCCTCCGTCCTGCTTCGCCCAACCCAGTTCTCTAATGTTTCGGCCGGTTAGAGGCAGAGCTCCCTGGGAGGGAGCCTGAATAATCTTCGTGGCAGGACCCAGGACACCAGCCCTGGCTTTTCTGATCAGCGCATTCCCATTGGTTAGCAGCAGAGGCTTTGGGACCCGGGCTTGCTCTCAACTCCTAAGTACATGGAGTGGGAGAAGAGCGTGCTACAGGATAGAACGATAAACAAGTAGACACCCCAAATTGGTTAAAAACACCACAGTAGCCAAAGTGAAAGCATTGCTCTCCCTACATAAGAGCACACCTTCAACTAATTCTCACTGCCTCCGAGTCGATGCTGACTCATAGCCACTCGCTGTGGGTTTCCTAGACTGAAACTTTACGGGAGTAGAAAGCCCAGTCTCCCTCTGGTTTCGATCTGCCAATCATGAGGATCGCAGCCCAGGGCATAACACCACCAGGGCTCCATGCAGCGAATTAAGCCTCACAAATTCCACCGTCGGACGGAGCACCAGTTTTATGGCTTGTGGTCAGCTGCAGAGAATGTGAGAGGCGCTGTCAGTGAATCTTGTCCATTGCATCCAAATCGCTGACTCCCACTCAGAACCGAGTCTAACACTTCAGCTGCCGTTTCGTGCAGTAAACATTAAGGAAAGCTAAGTCATGTCGAGCTATCTACTGTGCCAGCAAAAACAAAACAAAACTCACTGCGGTCGAGTCTATGCCCACTCATAGCGACTTTACAGGACAGGTAGAACTGGCCCCGAGTTTCGGAGACTGTAACTGATAAAGGGAGTTACATCTTTCTCCTGCTGAGCTGTTGGTGGTTTTGAACTGCTGACCCTGCAGAAAGCAGCCCCAACATGTAACCACTACCCCACCATGTTTAAATTATGTGGTTTTAACAGATTTTGTCAAATGTGACATGCAATCCCAAATATACCTTGCCTATCTTCGACTTTCCCATTACTATCTAGTCAATGCTGACCCTGTAAGTTACTGAGACTATAACTGTTTACTGGAGTAGAAAGCCCAGTCTAGCTCCCTACTGAGCTGCAAGTGGTTTCGAACAGTCACCCATGCGAATCCCAGCCCAACGCATAACCACTCTACCATCAGGGCTCTTCCTTCTAAGCTCTAGTGACTCTAAATCAAACCACATTTAAAAATGTTCTTTATGTCAACATTAGGAATAGGTTTGTTTGCTTGGAACTCCAGTTCATTTAACAGCTTTCCATTTCATTTTGTTGCAGCCTCCTATTGGTTTTGAGGCTAGAGATGCAAACAAAACCAAAAACATGGCACTCTGGAGAAGAACCTGATAAGTCTTGACAGCTGACCTAGGTTGGCTGCATTTACAGGTGGTGCTTCCATAAACAGTCATTGTAAAACAGGAGTTCCCATGACAGTTACAAGTTACAACAGGAATGACACATCACCTGTTTTCTAAGGGAAACAGCCATCACAGTTACAATCACCTGTAACAACAACAGTCCTCACTGCCACCAAGTCGATGCCAACTCCTAGTGACCCTATAGGACAGGGTAAAACTGTCCCTGTGAGTTTCCAAAACTGTAACTCTTATGACAGTAGAAAGCTCTACACCACTGGGGCTCTTGCCTGTAGCTTAAAAGCAATTTAAACGATGGACTGGACATATCTCTGGTATGCAGCTCTTGTACGCAGTAGAATTTATAATCTACTCGGGGACTTGCATTAAATGAAAACTATCACTAGAGAGCAAAATACAGGAGCCATCAGTAGTCTATATATCAACTGCTGTATTTCACTGTGATTGGAGTAATCAGGAAAAAATACAGGAAAGGCAAGAGGTATAAAGGAGTATGAAAGGCCTAACGGAAGTATAAGAATCCCTGGTGGTGCACTGATTAAGCGCTGGGTTGTCAACCCAAAGATTGACAGTTTGAATTTACCAGCCATCTCATGGGAGAAAAGATCTAGCAATCTGCTGCTGTGAAAACTAAAGGCTTGGAAACTCTGTGGGGATTTCTATAGCACAGCAGTTCTCAACGTGTGGGTCGAGACCCCTTTGGGGGTCAAATGATCCTTTCACAGGGGTCACCCAATTCATAACACTAGCAAAATTATAGTTATGAAGTAGCAACTAAAATAATGTTATGGTGGG